GGATGATTAACTTATTTCTGTGCTTACTAGAGACACAAGCCCCCCAGACCTTGCCCTAGATGGTAAGACACTATATGCTGACACCCTTGTAAAAATAGTAAAAGGGAATGAGTGGGTGAAATGAGTGGTTGAGGGACCTTCCCTGGTGGTGCGATGGGTCGAAACCGCAGCTAACCTCAACCTCCAGCACAAATTCAATCCCTGGTCAAGGAGTTGGCAGATATGGCTAGGCAGACCTCTCCCCTGTCTCCTCTGTTGCTCTCCTCAGCAGTGTCTTTCAATCCACCTGCCTGTTCTGCTCCCCACTCTGTCTCTGGTGAATCCTCTCATCACCCCAGCACCTCTGGCCTGTACCCCAGTTCTGTATGCATAAATAAATAAATCTTTAAAAAAAAATGGCGAGGCAGACCTCTCCTGACTCACCCTCTGCTCTCCTCAGCAGTGAACTTCGTCGATCTGCCTGTTCTGTTCCCCATTCTGTCTCTGGTGAATCCTCTCATCCCCCACATCTCTGGCCTGTACCCCAGTTTTGCACGAATAAATAAATAAATCTTAAATAAATAATTAAATAAATGGTTGGACAATTGGTTGCCAGTCTTATGGAAAGAAGGTTAAATTTTCAGAGATTTCTAAAGTAGCAGGAAAGGGAGTAAAACTGGGAGATAAGAGACATCTAAAAAAATTAAAAACTTCCCGCTGTTTTCTTCTTCAAAATAAAGATTGATGAAGTATAATATATCTGAAAAATTCCACAAGTGTACAGCTTGATGAATTGTCACTTACATATATGTGCACCCATGTGCTTCCTACTTATGATTTCCTGTGCCCAGAAAGCTTGTCCTGCCCTTTTTAGTCCAAATTACTCTCCCTAAAGAGATAACTATTCTTTTTTAAAAAAGGATTTATTTATTTATGCATACAAAACTGGGGTATCAGGTCAGAGGTGCAGGGGCAATGGGAGATTCACCAGAGACAAGTGGGGAGCAGGACAGGCAGATCTACAGAAATACACTGCTGAGGGGAGCAGGGAGAGAGACAGGAGAGGTCTGCTGCACCTTGTGAGTCACTTCCCTGGCCTGGGGTTGAACTCTTGCTAAAGTTGCTGAGGAAAACTTCCTAGTGCTGCACTTTAACCCACTGTGCCACGAGGGAGGGCCAGAGATAACTATTTTTCTGACTTCCACCACCAACAAATAATGTTATGTATTCTTGAATTTCATAAATATATGTTTTGGGGGTTGTACACTCTGCTGTCTGGTTTCTTTCACTTATCACTATGTCTATGAGCTTGCATACTTTTATACTGCTATGTAGTATTCCAATGTGTGACTTCATGACATTCATTCATTCTATTGATGCTTATTTGGATTTTTTCCAATTCTTGATTATTATAAGTAAACCCACTATGAATGTTCTTTTTAAATGTCTTTTGGTGGACATATGCCATTATTTATACTGAGTATACACCAAAAAGTGCTTTTTGCTTTTGGCTACTCCATGGGAGAAAAATCTTATGAAAAAGATTCTGAAGTCTACTTTCTTTCTGAAATAAATAAGAAGACAAAGACAAGGTTATCACTAATGAGCAAAACCTCTGTGTCAAATGCTTCAGATATATACTCTCTCATTTCCTCCTAACAAAGGCTCTAAAATGTATTATTGTTTCTGTGTTGCTAATAAGAATATTGAGCATAAAACACTGTTAGGAAATGGCCCATGGCCTCAAGGTAGGATATGCATGTTTCTGTAAGTGCTCTATGATAGGAGCTATGAGAAAAGGAAGTGATAGAAGGTCTCATAGTGTAGCTGAGGCTAGAAATTGGTCTGCAGGGATGGAATGAGTCGGGATAATAGTGGTTTCCAGGAGGACAGAATGGCAAGGGAGGAGTGAAAATGGAAAATGGGCTTTAATTTGATTGGGATGGATACATGTGTTTTGGGGGGAGGGGGGTGATAGTAAGCAATATATCTAAGAAGAAATAGTATGAGATTTCGAAGAGTCTTTAAAATTTCAAACCATACTTAAGCCATATCCTGTAAGAAGTGAAAACTTTAAAAATGTCATGATGAATGCAAGATTTTGTGAGATCAATAATGTTAGTATAAAAGATAGTTTAATAGCCAGGACAGTTAATGTGTTATAAAGATCAAGAAAGGGGCCCACTGTGTATGAATTAATATTTAGGAAGTTGGACCTTAGGAGAAGTCAAATTTAGAGATTACCAGAACCTGGTACTTTACAGTCTCAGTGGTATTATCTCCACTAGGCAGCAATCACTTGCCCCACTTTACTGATGGGGAAACTGAAAATAAGAAGGTTCAAGTTCTGGCCTCCAAATCAACATATAGTGAAATTAGGTCTTGAATGTTGTTTCAGGAAATCATGTTGTCTCTACACAAAGTAATGATTGAGATACAGACAAGTTTCCCCCAAGTCTCATTTAAATGTAAAACATCCTACTCTAAAGATAATCTGGTTTCTGTGGACTTTAAGCTTTACTCCAACTCTAGCTATTCTTTTTGCTAAGAGGAAGCCATTTTTTCATTGTATTCATGTTTATAGGAATCCAGTGCTCTGGCAAAAACTATCTCTTTATTTCTACATTTGCATTGCTCTGTTCTTCCATAGAGAAGCCTATAATGGCTTGCAACATCAATTTCCACGTATTTCCAATTCAATATTTTTTTAAACTGACCATTTAATCCGTGCACTTTTCCTTTTAGATGTGAATAAGTAGAATAAGGCGTATAGAGGTGAGAATGGATAGGAAAAAGAAAACTAAACATTTTTTGACGCATCATCAAACTTTTTCACGTGGGTTTTCTAACACAACTCAAATCTAACAGAAATTTAGAAGGACCTATTATAGAATGATAGATTTTTTTTTACTCAAATCAGGAGGTGTAATTTTCTTTAATAATCTCTCCAGGTCTCACGTAATGGCACAGGATTCCTCAGTGCATTAGTGTATTCAGTAATTTGTTCATTAATATTTACTGAATGAATTACTGAAAATTACTGAATGAATTACCGAATGTAATTTGTAAAGGCTAGTGATCATCCACGGCACACCTAGATGCACCGTGTCTGAGGAGCGGCTAACTCTCTAGACAAAGAAATGTTGCTTGTGGTCTTACTGCCCCCTCTTCTTAGCTAATATATCTGGGTAAATCATCTCACTATTTCTCTGGTCTCAATTTCCTCTTCTATTAAATGAGCGCTTGGGCTAATCTATGCACAGGTGGTTTCAGGCCAGCTTCTACACTTCTGGTATCCACTTCTGGTACCCACTTCTGGTATCCACTTCTGGTATTCAATGCCAAACCTTGCAAAACTAAGTTTAATTCTGTTTTTTTTTTAATTTTTATTTTTTATTTTTTTAATGCTAGGGAGGTAGGAAAAAAGGTATCATGGAGTCTCATCTCCTTCAGTACTTCCTAAGGGAGTGATGAAGATGAGGATGAGTTTTTAAAAGGTTATTAGCTGATAAACCTTTGTGTATTAATTTGCAATGATGTATGATACTATATTTTGGTGCATTACTCTCATACTTCAAATTCAAAGGTCTTTAATGTGATTAAGTATTTTTGTTCTTTTTTGTGTGTGGTATAAAGAAGTTGTTCACTCTGTAAGTATGGTCTTAAGTACAGTTCATTTTCTTTATCCCTATCCATCAACTAGAATAACCTTGTGAAATATATGTCAAAAGTTTTTTTTTTCTTTTAAAAGACATCCAGTCACACATGAATAAAAATAAAATTGTTGCTTAAATAGAGGTCCTCTTTGAAAATGATGGTACAGTAAATTCTGAAAGTAGAAACTGTTTATAACCTAGTCATCTAGCATCTAGCTTTCAAATCAACATTGAATAAATGATGTGAAGGGACATACTTTTGAAATAAGTTAGTAGTTATCATGTGAGAGAAAGCTCAGTTAAACATCAGATTCTGGCACCCACAAACATAGTTTTTTTTTTTTTTCTATCACTGTTTATTGCATACTATCATCACTTTTAAAAGAAAACACATCCAAGAATATTCTCTTATTTCTTTTCCATTTGTTAAGCATACTTAGAAACTTTAGTTTTTATCACACTTTCTTCCAGCTCTCTTCTGTTTACTGAATTCTCTAAAATTAAAGGCTCAACATCCCTTCCTGCCAGCTCTACTCTAACAATAGCATCCCCCAAACCATCTTTATATTAGTTACCATAGATAACATTCATAAAAGAAATTAAAATGAGATAGAGAGAAGTTCCAAGTTAAAGTTCTAGTTTTCTGTGTAGTACATTGGCCTTGTTCTTTGTCCTTTATCTCTTGATTGGTCTATATTTCTATACAGCATGTTATATTCTTTTAAACACTTCTGCAAAGTTAGTGCTGAGTAAAAAACCGCACATGCATTTATCTTAGCATTCATTTATCCAGTGTGTAAACTCAACAAGTGAAAGAGAGACAGAGACAGAGAGAGGGCACTACTTACATCCACAAAATTATGGGGGATTTACATCTAAAGAGACACCCCCTTTCACACACACACACACACCTGCTTAGAGGAAGCGCTCTTTAAGGTGTTTGCGAGTTCGCGTGTGTGTCCTTCCCAAGCCATCTGAATGATGATGCTACAGAAAGGTTTTGCATTGTAAAGACGGATTTATTTATTTATTTTAGTGTCGTGCAGGTAGTTAACAACCAAGAGCATGCCCCTGATGGGGGATGCAAAGGAGGAGAAAGGCTGCAGCACCCGTAGCCTGCTGGGGGCTGACCTGATTCCCTAGAATCCTCTTTCTTCCTTTTTCCTCCCGACGTCCTTCCTTCTCTTTTCTCCTTTCCGTTGTCCCCCCACCCCACCCTACCCCACCCCCTATTCACATCGTTCCCCCCTCCCCACTCTGCCTCCCGTCCCTTCCACAGATAAGCAGATCCTGGAAACAAAGAGCGCGGGCTTTCCAGCCAGCAGCGCTTAAACCCAGCACCCAGCAAGCAGCATCTTGTTCCGGGGACCAGGGCTGCGCATCCCCTCCCCAACCTCCCCCGCCTCCCGCGCTCTCTCGCTCCCTCCCCGCTCGCTTCCTCCCCCACCTTCGCGGCGCTGGGAGGAAGGCGGCCGGGGCTCAAGATGGCTTTAGCCGGGCTCTGCGCCCTGCTCGCCTGCTGCTGGGGGCCGGCGGCGGTGCTGGCCACAGCCGCCGGCGACGTGGACCCATCCAAGGAGCTGGAGTGCAAGCTCAAAAGCATCACGGTGTCGGCGCTGCCCTTCCTGCGCGAGAACGACCTGAGCATCATGCACAGCCCCTCGGCCTCAGAGCCCAAGCTCCTCTTCTCCGTGCGCAACGACTTCCCGGGAGAAATGGTTGTGGTGGACGACCTGGAGAACACCGAGCTGCCCTACTTCGTGCTGGGTAAGTCTCGGGGGAGGTCGAGACGGCCGGAGGCGCGAGCCCGGCACCCCCCAGCCCCCACTCCAGCTCGCTCTCCACACCCACTCGCCGGCGACCTCCCCTCCCCCACCCGGCCTCCTTGGATCTGCCCCAACCCCACACCGTTCTCCACACCCACTTGCAGGCTAGCGCCCAGGTGCACCCGACTTCTACCCCAGTCCACTGGGCCCCCAACCTCTGCTCAGCTGCCCTGCCCCAGGGGAACAGGTTGCATGGGTCTCTGAAATATTCCCGGGCCTGACCTGCCTGCCTTGCTTCCGGGGCACATTGACAGTACTTCTTGTCTGCTACCGGCTGAGCTCCCATCAGCCCTTTCCTCACTCCCTGTTCAGTTATTTGCCTCCCAACCCCTGGACGTATACACACGGACTCTCTGCATTTCCTGAGGGAATTAAAAATCACAATCAGTAATCACCTTGCCAGGAATGTACCAATCACCATGGCTCTGGCTGGATTTCTCCTTCACTCTTGCGAGCTCTTTACCTGACCCCAGTTTAGTGACACTCTTTGGCCTTCCTTCAGAACACTCAAGTTTCCTTTACCCCTAGCGTCCATCCTGGAGAGCCCTACATGCAACAGCTTCTTCCACATCTTCATGTCACATCACAGTTCCTTGGACAAAGACATCACCCAGGTGCAGTCTATTCATATTGGGGTCTTCTTCGTTTCCAAGACATAGACACAGGCATTCCTGCACACAGAATTACTTCTCTGGGCAAGAGGTACCCCTCTTCCTATTTTCTTAGGCCACAAATCTCCTTTCGGTCCTGGAACCCCTATATCACTTCTAACCCACCCCTCTTTTTCACTAGTAAGCTACAAAAATACTGCGAACCCATCCAGGCCAGCGTCATGCACAGCCCCACAGATCCATGTGACTCTCTTAACCACAATTCCCTTCACTTCTCCATGTGCTGATATGTATCCGCGCTGCTGGGCATGCCCACCATACTAAGCATTTTGTCAGTGATGCTTGAATCATTTTTATTTTACTCAGGAGAGCATTCAAGAGAGTAAGGCTCTAGACTGAGGAAAAACATTGTAAATGTCCAAGAGAGTCTTCCATTTACGTGGCCCCCCACCAACTAGAGTTCACTTTGCAGGAACATGGCTTCCTAATGGCCACTTGTAGGTTAGAGCCATAAGTGGAATACTATCAAACATCTCTTTCTTTCTCTTTCTTCACATGAGGTATAGTCACACTGAAAACATTAAGAAGTGGATGAGTAAAATCCCACTCTCCAACCCCTATGGGAAAGCAATTTTAGAAATTGCCTGGCTCTTTGAAAAGTTGGTTTATACTTCCTGGAGTGTAGAACAGTCAATCCTATTAAACCCAACCTACACTTTTGATACAGTTCTTTATTTTTATTCTTAAAAAAACATACCACTGACATAGTTAAACGGGGCTGGCTGGGCATGGGGACATTGTGGATATGCTGCTCATGAAACCGTACCATTGTTAGGTTATTCAGTGGATCTTCTGTCAAAATCATGCTGATGTGCATGTACAAGCTGTTCACCACAGTGACTAAGAATGAGAATAGGGAATTATGTGTTTCTAAAGTGCTGGTTTTAGGCTCTACATGCAGTGTTTACTGTGCACGAAGTGGGGTATGTGTGGCGTATAAATAAAGGTTTATTGTACCAGCAGATTTTCAAAATTGCATTTTTGTTTTTGCAGTATCCCAAAGGCAAGGCCTAAAGCTGTGATGTACCTAGGATCCCCTGGGCATAGCAAAGACCCAGATGTTAAAGATTGGGTTTTCAGCACCTCTGTGTGAAGCTGCCCACTGCAGCACCCCCTCTGGAGTTGCTATGGTAACCTCCTGCAACTTGGCATTTACAGGGGAACAGAAATACTCTCTCACTGCAGGGCCAGATGCATTTGTTAAATGCATTATTTGTCCCCTGCCCTCCCTATCAATGGAATATGTTCTGAATAAGAAATACTCATGTTCCTCTAACTACTGGCCGTGTATTCCCTTAGGTGGGAATAGGAGTGACTCTCACCTTGTGTGGTGGAGTAGAGCTGGGCAGAAAGGAACAAGAGTTCAAGTTCTTGTAGGGTAGACTAAAGTGCAGTTGCTTTTGAAGTTAAATTGCATAGTCCTGAATTCCATCATTTCCGGTCATGAGTAAGGATTGCAGTTACTCATTTCGAGCTTTTTCTACTTTTATTTCTGAAACATAGTTTGCTTAATCCATCCTCTGGAAGAAACAGTATCATTCAGTCCTGGAATTTATTGAGTATTCACTGTGCAGCACTCCTAGGGGTTATTAGGACACAGAAGTTGAAAGAACAAATGGTTTCTGCCCTCAGTCACTCTCAGTCACTCTGAGGTGACTTTAAGGGTCCTAAATTGGGACCTTCCTGGTGGTGCAAAAGGTTAAAATGCAGCACTATGAAGCTATCTGCAGCCACTGCAGCTTGAATTTGATCCCTAGCCAGGGAGGTGACCCACATTGGCATGGTAGATCTCTCTGCTGTCTCCCTGCCGCTCTCCTCGGCAGTGTATTTCAGGAGTTCGGCCTATTCTGCTCCCCACTCTGTCTCTGGTGAATCCTCTCATGCCCTGCACCTCTGGCCTATACTCCAGTTCTTGTCTGCATAAATAGATAAATCTTAAAAGAAAAAAAAAAGAGTTGTAAGTAAAAATATGTACTTGTGTGGTATAGGTGTTAGGATGAAGGGAGTACTTGATGGAAAGAGCAGACTGAATTGACAAGGAAGCTTGACCAAACTCAGAACTTTTGGCTTCCTTGGGTAACCACCAATAAATCCTACTACTTCAATGAGACTAGTATGTCTTCCTCTTATTTCAGTCAACTGCTCCATCCTCTCATCCCTGCACCCTGAATCGTCTTAGGTCTTTTGTGGACCTTGAGTATACACTGCCTCTATCTGGATGCACTTACCCCTTCTCCACTTGACAGTCTTTTATTCTTCCTGAGAAGCCCTGCACACGTCTCCTTGCTATAAAGCCTTCCTTAACCTCACAAGTCAATCTTAGTCCACCCCTCTTTGGTACTGCTTCCATAACATTAAAACAAATGTTGTATTATAAAGCACAAGGAAAGAAGTTAATGGTAGATTGGATTGGCTTGATAGAGGAAAGGCGAAAATATTTGAGGTCATAGAAGTAAGATAAGCAAGTGATGGTAGTGGGGAACAGCATGTGTGGATCAACCTTGTGGTTTGGGAGCACAGATGACCTTGCCACCTCTGTAAAACAAGACAAAACTCAATTAAAAAAGTGCAGGTAATGGTGGGCTTATTTGACCAAGAAAGCCATGAAACCTGATTCGCAGAGACTAACTGACCATTAGTGTTGTCAATTTTGCATGTAACATAGTCCCAGAAGGTGATGAAAGGGAAACTGTATGCTCTGTATGGTCATAAATATGAGGTGGGGTTTGCAAACTGTGGTGCACAGGCCTTTGTTGGGCACAGCCCAGGTTAATCTGAAACAGTGCCCCTTTTTGGTCATAAAGGGAAGAGAGGGAGAACAAGGAGAGGCTAAAGGAGAAGGAAGGCCACACCGTATTGGTAGGCAGCAGTTGTGGTGACCAAGGAAACTTACTCAGAGGCTTTGTCTTGGCTGACCACATGATGAGTAGTTTCCCCCGTGTCCTTCCTTCCCAAATCTGAAAACTTTGAATAGTGCTTTTAACTGGGTTTCATCAAGTGTACTGCCCAGATAGTCTTAGCAATACATCAGATTTTAAGGATATGTCCTTGGGTAGCTTCTGGGAGTTTGGAAGGCAAACAAAATGTCCTTAGGAGAAGGAGTTGGTGAGGCTTCTCTAATTGTCTTGTTCTAGCTCTCACGTCAATAGGTAATCAGTTCTTTTGATTGTCTTCCCCAGCAAATACATGTGATTTTCAGTTATGTTTTGTCAGGCAACACATAGCTTAAAAATATTTTGAATTTGAGTGTTTTTAGTTCAGGCACGCCTATCTCAAGATTGTCAGACTTACCATAATTCCTCATTGATCTGTGGCTCACCTTCTTCTTCATGGTACTTATCTGGCAACTCTAAGCCAAGTAGACGAAACCTTGCTTTCAGTAATGTAAAATTCTCTGCAATATCACAAAACAATGGCCAGTTTTAATTTAAGATATTTAGATATAGAAACCTCTCAGGAGAATATGAAAGATTTGACAATTAGTTAATTAAAATTTCATATCACAACTAAACTTTCAATTTTTCAAGACAGTAGACATTCCTGTTCAGAAGGCATGTTTGATTTTTGAGACAACTGGTTAACCTGCAGTGTAACTTCCACATTGAATCTAGTTTTCTGTGCTGTGATCATAACATGTTTATCACCCTCATTAGTATTTGAAAGGGTGTTCCTGTGTTTCATACCCAGCTATTGACCTTGCGCATGGGTAAAACTTAGTGAAAAAAGCTGTTTCTATTGTACTTTGGCGTTAGCTTCAGCTGTCATGGAATTTGATTGAAGAAGGTACTCCTGAAGATAAATCAATCAGACTCCAGAGATGTGCTGAGTTCCCATAGGCAAGATGCTGTTTGAAGTGTTGGAGCAGTCCAGTGTGCTGGTTAAGAGAACAGGCTTTAAAGACAGATCTGGTCTTGACTTCCAGATTTTCACTTATTCCAACAGTGGAGAAAAGGATCAGACTAGTTAAGTACTCACTGAGGATCACATAGCTAACAATTGATGGAATCATAACTGGATCTAGGGTCAATAAAACATTTAAAACATTTTTCTCTTAGTTACTATTTTATATGCCTTAAATTTTTCAACATCTATTTTTTTTTAATGATTAGAGAAAAGGAGTCCCGGCGTGGTTAGAATACAGAAAGCATACTTACTTAGTTTGGACAAAAGAATCTTTTGTGGCTTCTGTTATATATAAATACATTTTAATTATTCTTGTCAATTGAATGATTTCTCACAGAAGCTTTCATGCAGAAGAGGATGGGCTTCA